TCATAGTTTTTTACCGTTTTACGCGTCGAGTAATCATGTAGACAAAAAGAGAGAGAGAGAGAGAGAGAGAATCGGTGTGACGCGCGGTTACATAATATAAGTGATTTTTGAAAGTCACCAGATCGATGCGACGCTCATATTTTGTAAATGTATTTCTGATTCTTTATTTTTCTCGTTGTATCGTGCTAAACGATGCCGTGCACGCATCAGCAAGTCTCGCGGTTATTCACCGTGGCGCAGTTCCTGAATCATGATTCGGTTTCGAATTCAAGATGCGTTGACACACGCTTCTTCGCAAAGCGAATACGTTTCTTTAAAGCGCATGAAACTTATTTCTTTGAACAAATTTAAATTTATTCGTTTTAAGCGGGTACGCGCGCAGTGGAAGTTTCAGCAATTTTTAACATCCGTATTCTCGAAAGTTTTTAAATATTTGCTATTCATGCATATTAATGAATTACTTTAATCGATGTTGCTAAAGTAGAAAAAGTTATATAAAGCGTCATCAAAGATTGAATCGATTTTGCTCCGTCTTGAAGAAACACGATTAAAAGACGTAATCACGAAAGAAAAATAATTAATAATACGTTATATTAGTTTGTCTTGTATTTTTCCGCTAGACTGAACTTTTAATTAAAAACAGTGATGTTTATCGGTGTTTCAGTTTCTCGAACATTCACGCGCCTGTTAAAAGTTCGGTGGAACAGAAAAGAAGAAATTTTTGTTAGCTTTCGTTTATCTATTTCCTCTTTTTTTTTAGATTTTTGGTTTACCGTTTCCCGGATTAAAGGAAATTCATATCACGCGACCCGCAGGATCTCGCGAACCACCTGCCGCATCTTAATTTTATGTATAAGTCCGTTGATCCGCTGATCCTGTGCACGGTGCATGTTGTAATGCTCCCTGGAGAGATGTAACGATTTCCTCGCTCGTGGCCCAAGCATTTATCGTGTTGGACCGGCCAAAAGGTGGCATTTCCGCTTGCGAGAAGCACTTTCAATCCGGTATTAAAGCTGACATAATTTTCGCGAGTTTAATTTTAAACGTTCTCTCTCTCTCTTTCTCTCTCTCTCTCTCTCTCTCTGTGTGTGTGGTNATATATATATATATATATATATATATATATATATATGTACATTGTCATAAGTAACTAATAAGTTCAGTTTGATGGCGAACCAGTTTAATTACTGGAAACAATAAAACAGTATTTCGCACATATTTCTGCAAACGTAATATACAATGAAGGTATAATTTCGAAAATATGTTACAAACAATTTAGGAATTTAGTTCGACAAAGTGCGCTATATAATTTACAACTATAAGCGATGAAATGTCTATCTATGAAATAATTTCAGCAGAATATTTTTCGTTCATGCACGCTTCTAATTAAATGCATTGTATTATCACGGCTGCGTGCGTCATGCAGGTGAGTGCAAAAAAGTAGGAAGAATTAATACACGTATTATTATATTTTATTTAAATCGCACATTATGACGCAAGTACTTGTTTTGAATTTATTTATACAGGACGGAAAATTGTATATCAATGAAGATCTCATTAATCATTTCAAAATAAAAAAATTCATTTGCACAAATAGGTATACCGATTGCATAGATAAGATATTCGAATACGAGCTCGACAATATCATACGGGTATCAATACCTACTTTAAATTACTCAAGCTCGTGAAGAAAGGCTTTAGCTTGCTATTTTCGCCGAGATCGATTGAGGGCGCAAGAACTTTGTGGAGCGAAATTTACACAGACGACGTGGCCGCAAAAAAAAAAATATACGCGTCTTTGTATATTCGATACATGGGCAGGATTTATTATCAGAAAAATAGATCGGAGCCAAGAATGACGGGAGTTCAACAATTGATCGTTGATAAAAAGGTTGGAGCACTCCGATTAACACACCGATAGTGACATCTTACAAGCGTCGCTTTATACCAACGAGATCGTTGCAATGATTGCCAATGGAAGTGAAGTTTACGAATTATTGCAAAGATCAATTTAATATACTCATCATTACTGTGTTATGGAGCACGCAACTCGACGTAATGAAATTTTAATCGGACAAATGTTGAATTTATTACAATGAAATATATAATCATATATAATAAATGAACTGCATCCGATTGGTTTTTGCATGATGAATTTTTGCACATATTTAATCTTACCGGTATATTAATAATGATATATTATGTAATAGAATTAAGAGAGATAAAATCATAGTATGGAGTAAAGCTAGATCGGAAGTTATCGTCAGCAAGGAAAAGAGATATTTCTGTTATCGGTAGATAATGAACGGAGAAAATCTCCGGATATTTTCCGGATTTCATTAGATACGTAAGTCCAGTCGTATATTTATACCTCTTCCATTATAACACAGCGCACTCTCTTAATACATTCTTGAAGTGCAGAGTGCGTTGTAAAAGTCTTAGATCTATAATCATCGTCTGTTTTATAAATAACATACTTCACGAAACACAAATTTTTGCGAATCTTTTTATAATATAACATTGAATTTGTTCTTCAATTTAATAAACGTTGTATACGCGAACGCTTGAAACTTTTGCAAACATACGTTGATACGGGACATTTGTTAAATATATTCCTCGTGGTGTAGACGATAGTTGTTGCGGCAACGAATTAAAAGAAACAATATATTACAATTTTTTCTTTTTTTTAACGTACGTGTTATCATCGCGACTGAACGATCTCCAGGCGATGTCTTAAATCGCCGCTACGTTATCCGTCGAAAGCGGTCCGACTACCTACGGTAGATATTTACTTCCCGCGACGTGTTCCCCCTCGACGGGTAATCTCGCGAGTACCGTGCGTCGTGTCGGCGCGCAACAGGATCGATATTATCCAGGTTGCCTCGGCACACGTGAGCCCTTGCTGGAACGTTATATTTAGATGGACCCTTCCCTCGTCATCAAGTGACAAGGTACAACAGCGAGGCTCGCTCAATTGCCTCTGGAAACCGATATTAATATGGTTAGCGATGTTTCTCGACGTAGAGCACCTTCGGGGCAGAGCAGCTTTATATACAATGCGAAATTGAATTGCAGTCGAGATGCATCGCGCGGTGTTGTGCAGCCAACTGAGCATCACGCTCCGGCCGTACCGTTGTGAAACCGTCCGCGATTGATACGCGCTGATTTCCGTTTGGGGAGTGTCGGAAACAGGACAGAGAAAAAGATAGATTGAAAGAAAGAGGGAGAGAGAGAGAGGAAGACATCATCGTAAAATATATAAAAAAAAATGTGAAAAGTGATTTGTGAATTTTTACAATTTGAATGAATAATTTGCAGCTAAGTTTGCTGAAAACGCTATACGTCGATTAATCTTTCAATAGTATTATTCGAACACTCGGTATGATATGGAGAAAAAATTTCCCGCGTGATGCAAAACATATTTTATTAATCTATACTTTGCGGTGGTGTGTCAGTATTATTTATGTATTTACTCAAAGTCAATTATACTCTTATCGCGAGATTTTTATAAAACCTGTACAGAGGAATATTATCAATTTCACGTGAATTTAATGCCAATATAATTGCACACGGACATTGAATTCTTTATTTTCCCGTTGACCCATATACAGTTATCACATCCGTCACCTACGACGCTTCGTTTGTTTTTCATTCACATTTTCGTGCGTTTGTTCCCTGTATTTCTCGCGTGCGCGCCGCTTTCCGCCGCGGATCCGTGCGCAATAATTATCGTTTACGAGTCGCCGACGGCGCTTCAATATATCGCTGCCGGGCAATAAATTGATGTAAGGCACTAAGCGCGCAAACAGATGCTCCTAATTATCGGCCAGAAATGTGTAACTCCGCGTTAATTAATTGCCGCACGCGATACATGCAATATCGCTCGCGAATCGTCGGAAGTCAATCCAACGAGCTGACGTAATNTGGGGGGGGGGGGGGGAGGGAAATCGTGTTGCCGCGGCGATTTCGATGACGGTGCGAGGCGATTAATTCGTTCGTTCGTTCGTTCATTTGTTGCTTTCCGAGCACGAATCGCGGCCGTAACGCTCGAGATTTATATGTTTTCGGTGTTAACGCGTTATTCGTTCGACCTCGGCCCATGGCTGTACGATGCTCCAAGCGTCCTTAATGGAATTACACGCGTATCAACGGTATAACCGGGAGCTCGATCTGGTTTGCTTCGCTCGTCAGCTGGTTCCGAATTGTTTTCTCCGATTCCTTCGTCTTTCGGGAACAGGGGACCAGGACGTCGTCGGTCTCATAATGGACGAGGCGCCGCATAGGCATGAAAGATTCACGGGCGACGGACCTTACTGTCGCAACTTTTTAATTAGAAGATTTTTTCGATGTCGCAGTCGCGTATAAAGGGCGACGCATGATTGATGCGTCTCAGCTTAATGAGCGCTGACAAACGGTGAAAAAATGACTCACAGATTTTTCGCGATTTGCGTCGTAATCATAATCTCGTTACTCGAAACATTTGCATTTTGAATGCAACGTACACCCCTCTTACGGTAGATTTGAACTTAGCCCGGAATCATGCGCGCCTATCTTCTGATAATACAATCAAGTGGCAACAAAAAATGCAAGATCGTTAGATTTCATCTAATGGTGTGCGTGACTCCGATTAACTTCTTTGAAGTTTAATTTGCAGAGTTGCCGTGAATAACTCGAGAAGGAGATAGCAAGCGATCATAAACGATTGGAGATTACATGTACTTCTCAATCAGTTACGACAATAATGTTTAGATATTTCGATTCCTTATTAAATTTCGAATAAATGAGTGAAGAAAAATGTTGGTGACTCGCAATAAGGTAAATAATAACAACGATCTTTCTTTTTTCTGTCTTTATCTTTCTGTTAAAATTGGATTATAGTAGAAAGAAATTGCAATATACCAAGATGTATATTACAACACTAAAAAAGATGTATATTGAACTACATGATACAATAATATATTATTATATGGTAATAATTATATGGTAGAAACGTGAAGAAATATTATGATGTATTCCCTTACCAATTTATTGACTCAACTGTGTTCGCAAGGAAATACAAAGCAGAATATATATTACATAGAATGCTAGTGGCAAATATAACTATTATGAATTAAACAATATTAAACTCTATTCCTCATAACCATTAGGTAAAGCGTTCTTTTTAGGATTGTGGAACAGAGTGTGGTTACCATCTCCCCATGGGAAAGGCTAAAAGTAAACAAGTATAAAGTCATTATAAATTCATTATAAAAGCATTATCAGATCAAACAAGTAATATAAAGTCAAAAATTAACTCTCTAACCACAATGTTGGGATCAGATATGACCCCACGACTCATCTATTTTATAGTGTATACGTGCTGTTTCCCTTCTTAAGTAACGTTTCATGTTATTATTTACTTCTTTTATCTATTTTTTACATGGATCACTTGAAAAACGAATAAAATAGAACGTAGGGCCAGATCCAACCCTACTTTCCTGGATATGTTGAAAATTCACTTTGTTGTACACACATTGAGTTTTGAAATGTCATATATCTATTTTCCACACTCCACATAGTACATACCTTAGTTCTTCGTCTCATATGTTCGTACGGAATAAATTCTGGACGTGGATCGTTATGATGAGCCTGATGATTCAAATAGGAATTAAACATAGCCAGACCAATCGCCGGGAATGCCACGAAGTACGTGATTCTCTTCCATAGGAGCGCACCTTTCCCTATAAAGCACACAGCATTGTTGTTATGTAATACATCGGCGACTTATTCAAGAGTCCCTGCATAAATTCCTTCACTCGGAGAATACAAATTACATTAGTACCGCTCACATATTGATTGCAACACTTAAACGTTTGGTATTAATATTTAATCAGAACAACGATGTACGACACACAGTAACAGTAATGGTATTGTTCAGCCATGCAGATAATATTTCGTGCAGGTATAAACTACGATGTTACCAAATACGCGAATAGAAAGTTCGTTTATTGATATTCTTCACTTATTAACCTGCGTGGTCCGTTTCTGCGTTAGTAGCAGATGAATATCTTCTGGCAAATGTGCGGCCAACTCTCGCCCAAGCAGCCATTGTTGCTCTTCTGCTTCTCTTCTTGTTAAATGGCCCAAAGGGAGACTCTATCCGCCAGTTTCTGACTCTCCTGCTTCGTTCCAAAAACTTTGCACCTTTGCACCCGGGTGCTATCTCACACGTCGTACGACGAATATTATCGGATGTGCCGATTCGCTGTCGGATAGAGAATTTTTAGGGTCCCTAACCATTTCTGTAACACCCTAAAGATTCTCTATCCGACAGTATTCGTCATTCGATGCATGTATACCAGCCTAAAGTAAAGGCTGCTTTCGAGTCTTAATGGAACAACGTCGGACTAACCTGTTTTATTTGGAAAAGCAGTTGAGGGGTGTTCAGTGCAACGATTTGAGTAATTGTCAGCTTCATAGCGTGGTTTAAGGAAGAAAATTCATATTTTAACACGAGGATGGATCAGTCCTCCAATCGTGATTCGGGCGAGGAAATGACAGAGCCTGAGAAAAAAGATATTAATACAAACAAAGTAGTGGAACCTAGTAAGAAAGTTAAAAAGAAAGGAATAATATATCTGTCCACAATTCCGAAATTTATGAATGTAACAAAGATTCGGGAGATATTTTCGGAATATGGAAAAATCGACAGAGTGTATTTGCAGCTGGATGAGAATGGTTTGTCTTAAAATGTTTTTACATTTTAGTACATTTTTGTAAACATCAATATAATTCCCACTATGGTACCTTCTTCTTATTTCTCTTATTAACTTTAGAATATAAAGAACTTTTAAAGAACTTTTATTGTACAAAAGTAGATTTTACCTTAATCTAGTTGTCACAAGTAAAATGGTCAGCTTTTTAAAATAAGTGCAAAATCTTTCTTTAGAGATACAATTAGCAAAGCATAAGAAACAGAAAAAGATAATCAAAAACTTTACCGAGGGTTGGGTGGAATTTGAAAGTAAGAAAGTAGCCAAATTTGTAGCAACGACATTAAACAATACACAGATATCTACAAGAAAAAAGAGCAAATTCTATGATATTATGTGGAATATAAAATACTTACATAGGTGAGTTATCAAATAACCTATTTCTTAACATTTACATAATTATTATTTACTTACAGCTGATGTATTTTTCTCCTCACACAGGTTTAAATGGATTCATCTGAGTGAACGTCTAGCATATGAACGTGCGGTTCATAAGCAAAGACTTCTAACTGAGATCGCACAAGCCAAGAGAGAAGTCAACTTCTTCTCATATAATGTGGATAGAAGTAAACAATTACGTAAGAAGAGTGCGAAAGGAGAGGAGACAACCTTTAAATTGCCTGAGGTTAAACAAAGGGATACCGACGGTGAAATAAGAAACAGAAAAGTAGAAGCACATGTGGAAGACAGAACAGAGTTTCTTAAATCGATATTTGCATAAGAAATTCAATATGTATATACACATACATATGTATATATATATATATATATATATGTGAAATTTTAAATATATATATATAATGAAATTTTATATATATATATATATATATATATATAGTTTCTTAAATCGATATTTGCATAAGAAATTCAATATGTATATACACATACATATGT